TTGTGTACCGGGGTAGAAAGACATCCACTCTAGGTTGTAAGACGATGACAAATGACACCTAAGATCGACGCCAAGCCAACTGTAGCGGGAGTCCCGGCCGCTAATTCAGATTCGTCCGGCATTATGGCATTGTACAGTAAAACAGGCAAGTTACAATAGTCCGCCATGTACAAAGAATAATCACAAATCTTGTCTCGTTACTCTCGGAGGAATATTTGGCTTCAGAAGGCACTTTGAAGCCTTATTCAGGTTAGAGAGCCAGGTTCTTGCGGCCTTCCATTCGTTCCGAATCCTCTATACACTTGCTACACACTCGTTTTTAATATCCTATGGCTCGAAACACTACATCCTCTGCCGTTGCTGACATAGGCTCTCCGTGAGAAGATTTCCGTCGATGCTTTCGAAACGTTTTGCAATGTGGTTACATTCGCTTAAAACTGCGCATAATGCCTCAAACGTCTATAAATGTAGATTTTGACGTAAAAAAGAAGCAAGGCGTAGACACAATCCCGAAGGTAGCTCGGCAGACTCGGATGCGATTGGAAGCAATTGGAGAAACCGTACAAGAATGCGCCGCGCAATGGTACAAGAGATATTTGCTAGAGATAATCTTACGACAGAAGCCTTTAAACCCTTCAAAAGATGGGCGACACGTCCCGCTGCAAGTCGAGCAAGAACAAGTTTTAATTGATGAACGACGCGGCCAACCGTACATATCGAATGCGATCCGAACTTCGAGATACACCTTAATCGATTTTATACCGAAACAGTTGATATTTCAGTTCACACGGCTAGCGAATTTCTATTTCCTCTGCGTCGGCATTCCCCAGGCGATCCCGGGCTTGAGTACAACAGGAAGTTACACAACTATCCTACCTTTACTATTCTTTGTTCTCCTCACGATCGTTAAAGAGGGCTACGATGATTATAAGCGCCATCGGTTAGATAATCTAGAGAATGCGAATTCTACAAGGGTTCTAAGGCGGAAATCTCTAAGCATAGATGTCGTTTCGCCAGTTCAAAAATGGTTGACAAGTATATTTAAAAGTAAAAGCGCAGATATAAATTATTGGGACGACGAGGACGAGGACGAGGACGATACCGATGGAGACTACGGATGGAGACGAGTTGAGTGGCAGGATGTCAAAGTTGGTGATGTCGTTAAGCTAGTTCGCGATGAAGCTGTGCCAGCCGACCTAGTTCTTTTATACGCCACAGGAGAGAATGGACTAGCTTACATCGATACTATGGACTTGGACGGTGAAACCAATCTTAAGAGTAGGGAATCACTTCCGGATTTCAAAGATTGCCAGACTATTTCTGGCATTCGCAGCTGTCTGGCTGAGTTCGTCCTCGAGGACCCGAATCCTGATTTATACCGTTTCGATGGACGTGTCACAGTACGCGGCCGAACGCTCCCTTTAACGTCTAATGAAGTCATATATCGAGGCAGTACACTCAGAAATACTACCTGCGCCATTGGAATAGCGATTAACACTGGAGAGGAGTGTAAAATTCGCATGAATGCGAACCAGCATCCTCGTGCCAAGAAGCCGGCACTAGAAGCTATTGCTAACAAGATTGTCATTACTCTCGCCCTCTACGTTATTATTCTGACGGTCGGGTGCTCCATGGGTTACATCATCTGGCGGAGGTCTACCGAGCGAGCCTCTTGGTATATCTCCATGGCCACAGTCGAGTTCAAGCAAATCATTATTGGCTATGCAATCATGTTCAACAATGTCATCCCCCTCGCGCTCTACGTCACTCTCGAGATAACGAGGATTGGCCAGATGCTTATGTTAAATAATGACGTGGAAATGTATGATGAGGTAACTGATACTCCAGCTCGATGCAATACGAATACTATTTTGGAGAATCTTGGTCAAGTTAGCTACATATTCTCTGACAAGACAGGCACGCTCACGGAAAATGTCATGAAGTTTCGCAAAATGAGTATTGCAGGGACCTCTTGGTTACACGAAGCAGATATTCAGTCTGAAGAAGATACAGTGGCGACAGGTCTTGGTCTTACCGTTGATGCAGGAGTTGCGATGCCGCGCAAGTCCAGAGAGGTTGCCAGTGTGATTCACGAAGATATCGAACTCTATCCCCTATCGCCAGCAGCATCAAGTGTCACACCTCGGTCAGAAAGGAGGTCGTCGTCGCAGTGGAGATCAAGTGCTCGCCCAGACCATATGCAACCCGATGTTACAACCTCGGATTTGCTGGAGTATATCAGGTCGAGGCCGACATCGCCTTTTGCGAGACGAGCCAAGGATTACATACTATGCATGGCTCTATGCCACACATGCTTACCAGAGGTCAAAGATGGGGTAGTCGACTTTCAAGCTTCATCTCCGGACGAACTGGCGCTTGTCCGTGCTGCACACGAACTTGGATATTTAGTTGCCCACCGGTCCTCTCAGGCTGTGACCTTACAAATTGACAACGGAGATGGTAGCCAGAAGACAGAGGTTTACCAGATTTTAGATGTCATCGAGTTTAGTAGCAAGCGGAAACGCATGTCGATTATTGTACGCTTTCCCGACGGGAGAATTTGTCTCATCTGCAAGGGTGCCGATTCAATAATCATGCCTAGACTTAAATTGGCTCATTTAGCGATGCAAAAGGCAACAGAAGTTCGCAAGAGCGTCGAGGTGGAACGTGAATTACTTCGAAGGAGCGAGCAGTTAGACGTGAGAAATAGCTTCGGGGGGCGTCCAAGCATAACTTTACGACGGAATATCACAGGTAATCGAAATAGCATTACCGTTGCACAGCTCACTACACCGGTCAATATCCCGACGATCGTACGGAGCAGGTCCGTTGAAGGATCCAAAACGCGGCACTCCGAAGACAGACTTCGCCCGTCTTTAGGCATACGAACCACGTCTCTCGACGTAACCAAGACGCTATCAAGACTAAGCCCATCAACCCCCAAACCACCACCCGATAAGTTTGGGTTCCTTGATGATCCCTCCATACATGATGAATCAATAGTCTTCAGTCGATGCTTTAAACACTTGGATGACTTTGCTTCCGAGGGTCTACGTACTCTTCTGTTTACGCAAAAATTCATACCTGAAAGTGAGTATGAGACATGGAAAAAGGTTTATAATGAAGCAACGACAAGTTTAGTAGATCGTCAGGAAATGATCGAGGCGGCGGGCGAGTTGATTGAGCAGTCGCTCGACCTTGTGGGGGCGACAGCGATTGAGGATAAACTCCAAGTTGGCGTGCCAGAAACCATCGACAAGCTCCGTCGTGCCAATATCAAGATCTGGATGTTGACAGGGGATAAGCGCGAAACAGCAATTAACATTGCTCATTCGGCACGAATCTGTCGGCCAGGGTCCGATATATTCATTCTTGATTCCTCTAAGGGCTCGTTGGAGACACAGATTAACGATATATCTGAGGAAATTGCAATTGGCTGCACTCATAGCGTAGTTGTTGTTGACGGCCAGACCCTAGCGGTTATCGAGCAGTCGATGCGACTTACAGACCTCTTCTACACTCTTATCCCTTTAATCGACTCCGTCATCTGCTGTCGTGCGTCACCTGCTCAGAAATCGCTGATTGTGAAAGCCATTCGGCAGCGACTGCCAAGTGCTTTAACACTCGCTATTGGTGATGGCGCAAATGACTTGGCCATGATTTCTGCCTCTCATGTCGGAGTCGGAATCTCTGGTAAAGAGGGACTGCAGGCTGCTCGTGTAGCCGACTATGCCATTGCGCAATTCCGCTTTCTTCAGCGCCTACTCCTTGTTCATGGCCGTTGGAATTATGTCCGCACGGCGAAGTTTATCCTCACAACTTTTTGGAAGGAGATGTTCTTCTACCTACCAACAGCGATGTACCAGCGCTACAATGGATACAGCGGAACCAGTCTTTATGAGAACTGGAGCTTAACTATATTCAACGCACTGTTTACGAGTCTGTGCGTCTTATGTTTGGGTATTTGGGAGCAGGACCTCAGCGCGGAGACGCTTCTTGCTGTACCTGAACTATACGTACACGGACAGAAGAATAAGGAGTTAAACATCCCTAGGTTCGTACGTTGGATGGGTGCCGCGGCTACAGAAGGTGTACTAGTGTGGCTTGGGGTATGGGCCGCCTATAGCGTCTATGGTCAGGCCCGCGACGATGCACTTTTTGCTTTAGGCGACTTGGTATTTACGATTGGAGTAATATGGATTAACTGGAAAATCTTGTAAGTCTATATACATCTGCGCGCTGTGGCATCCTACTGACAAGACCCGTAGTATTCTCGAGACGCATTATAAGTCGGCGGTTGTTATGGGTGCTTTTGGTCTTACTCTGGCTGGGTGGTGGGCTTGGCAGGCATTCCTCTCAGGAGTCTATGCAGCGCAGCCAAGCCCCTACCCAGCCAGGCACGGATTCGAAGACACTTTTGGCCAAGACCCCCTTTGGTGGCTGACACTAATAGTCATGTTGCTTGTACTCATCTCGATAGAGCTGGTTTACAAGACAGTGAAACGCAACATGATCATCACAGGTACCTGGCAATGGCCGCCATGGAAACAAAGGAGCCCCGACGACAGCTTGGAGGAATGGGGTTTGGAGATTTGGCAGGAATTGGAAAAGGACCCGGCTATGCGCGAGCGGCTGCGAATGGCATGCATGGAAGAGGGCGAGGTCGAAGATGGGGAACAGGATAGCATTGACCCGGACGACATCATTAAGATCATTTGAAGGGAAAGCATATATTGGCGTTTTACGGATCTTCAAATTTATACGCACATGTATACCTATCTGCTAACAGCGGTTTAGATCAGGTTTCCATTGGATTTTTTTTAAGACATCTCAGGGGTTAAATAGGCATATATACCCATCGCGCTGTTCCCACGGATATATAGATCCATATTCTTATATGTATATAAAGTACTAATTCTCATATGTATGATTCATTTCAAATCCCGTCTTCTAAGTCCTTATGTGTGTGCAATATGTGTATATTGGTAATTTATTCGGATATAAGACGTACGGTAAGAAAGGGGGAAACTTGTACTAGCCACAACGAAACCTAGAAACGTTCAGAAACGAGTACTAGAGTCTCAGTTGAATGTCATATTGAGCATTTTTTATATTTCATGGAATATCATATCGTATGTAAAGAGCGATGCACACGTCGATTTCGTCAAGAAACGAGACAGTCTATCCGCAATAGGAGGTACTTAGCAAAAATCCCCTCCACCATCGGGGTATTCTTCACGTCCATCTTACACCCCGCCGTCTCATCCCACAATCAGCGCATCTAGCTACTCGCCTCAACCGTAGTGTTGCTCACATGGTTCATCTCCAGACCCTTCAATCCCTCTAGATCCTTCAACAGCGGAATAATCTTGGCGAACTCAGGGTGATCACGCGCCTTCATATGCGCCTCAACACTCGTCCACCCCAGGATCAAAACCAACGCACTACTCGGCACACCCTCACGGTCAATATCCCGCTCCACCGACCACCCCAGCGCCGTCTCGCCCGTCAACCCCTCCGCAAACAGCGTCATCCGCCGCGTAAACTCCACCACCGCGTCGGTCGTGCGCTTGCGCGCGTCCTCGGGGTAGTCCCCCGCAAACCAGATATGCAAGACCTCAGCGACGGGGGTCCTGCTGCTGGGCCCCGCGTTGTCCAGCGCGGCGACCGGGAACGGCGCAAACTCGACGTGGTACGGGCGTTGGGGCGGGGCGGTGACGGCCCCGAACACGCGCGCTTTGAACGGGGCGTACGCTTCCGTCTTTTCGAAGGCGCGGTGCGCGGTGACGGACTCCCAGTCGGCGAAGATGCGCACCGCGTTGACGTCTTCGTGCAGACGGGACGTGCGCACGCGCAGGCACCCCGGCTGCGCGGCTAGGGTGGCGGCGGTCGTCTCGAGGATGGAGGTGGCTTCGGCGGCGGGGAGGTCCGGCTTGAGGGTTAGGGAGATGAGTTCTGTGACGGGCGCCATGGCTGCGTTTACTTTTTTTTTTATGTTTGTGTTGGATCGATCTTATGCGTGGGCTTGTTCCGATGCTGCAGCAGGGAATGTTTACGAAAAGCAAATGTGATGTAAACTAGGAGGTAGGCTATGCGGGTGAGTTCATAAATGAGGGCGAAGTGAGGGGTTATATATATGTATGCGGCCGGAACTCCGGATGATCGCAGATTAAGTCGATAAGGGGGCCGTAATGGTGGTTGCGTCGTTTCAGGTAATAAGGCAAATTAGGGGGATTTAGAGAATTTAGCTTGCAATGGAGCAATAGATAGGATTTATCATTTCTATTAAACACTACCTATATTCAGAGTCTAATGATTACTAATTATTCCGAGGTATAGTATATCTAAGGTACCCACGGATAGGAGTCAATTGTGAACAAGACAAGGTTTAAATAGTAATGTCCTTACATAATTCCAAGCTAACCGGCTCCACGGAGAACTAAATACTTGAATCCATCACATATTTACATATGAATACTAATTACAGTATAAACGTTGAACAATCTACTTTCTCGGTTCGGTCCTCGCTACCCTCGTATCCTCCGCCTCTCAGAGCTCGTCTAACCAATCTAACAAGGGGTTCAGGTAATCGGTAGTCAACACAGGACCCGGCCCGGCCCCGTTCTCCTTAACCAACGGATAGAAGTCCAAGAAATCCTGCATGAATTCCATATAGTACATGAGAACGTACTTGAGTCGGGGTAATACACGGTGCTTCTCGGCGATTAGGAACCGGACGAGTTGGTAATCCCGCGGCCGGAGTGTTAACTCCAGAGTATTCCCCGGCGGTGGGTATCCGGGGAAAACGATGCCCCGTTCGTTCATGACTCGGATGGAACGGGGCACGATATTCTCGAGGAGAAGCATCTTTAAATTCGGGGGGAATCTCGTCGGGATGAGCTCCGGCAATGCGGAATCGTCCATGTATGCGCTGCCGAGGAGATAAATAGGGGGGATTCGAAGGAAATGCAGGTTTTGGAACCGAGTCAAATCCACGCCTTGATCCTCGAGAGGAAGCTTCCATCGCCAAGTAAAGTCCAGTATCCGCAAGCTCTCCTGAGCCGGGGCTAATAAGCTAGGATAGAGCCTCTCTGAGAATGGCAATTGATCGTTATGGCTAATCAAGAGATTCTGTAGTCTGGTCGTCGGAGATAAAAGTTGATTCAACGCTTCGTGGTCATACCAACATAATTCGATGAATAGCCCCTTTAAATCGGCATGCTGGAAATAGTCCACATCCAGCTTACCAAATGCGGAGAAGTCGATATAAGAAAACCGCACACGCCGCAGTTTTCTATGCCGAAACAACACAGCGTCATCCTCCTCGAGTTTGAAAGCTGCCCAATTCCCCCTCTCAATCGAGAAGGTCACTGTCATCGTTTATTAGTATCCATTTTCCTTGCATTTGATCACCAGCAAAACTCACAACTCTTCAAATTGGGCTGCTCCTTAACGAGCTGGTTCAAGGACCACCTCTTCTCGTCCTCGATACTCGGGGGTTCACCGCCGTGCTGCACAATGATGCTTTCGAGATTTGGGAACTTGATGCCCATGAGCTGCCGGTACGCAACCGGGTCGAACTCGTCGAGGACGAGAAAGCGTACCGCGCCGACGATATAAGGCCGCTTAAGCAGAAACTCAACCAGCCCACCGGTATCATGATCCGTGCCGGCCTTGGTGAACACTCTACGGTAAAGTAGCGGCTCTACAATCCCCCGCGCTTTTCGACACGTCTGCAAGGCCGAGGCCTGATCACGAACGCCAAGATATCGCAATATCCACCAATGGATCTCCAAGGGGAGACCGAGGAAGTAATCATGACCGCGCGTTGGCGGCATGATGGAACTCTAAAACGTATCAATCGTCAAGAGTATAACTACAAGAGTCATCCGCCGTGAATAGAACTATCCGTAGTTTAAAAGCAGGACGCCCGGGTTCCCCCCCCGCAGATCTAAGTAAGTGCACACATCCGACTATGCAGCAATTGGGGCGAGGACCATAAGCTCCGGCGCAGACGGTATTAACCTAGGTAGGTAGCCAGAACCGTAAAGGGGGCACATTGCATATTCCCCTTCGGGATCTACCGAAAATCGCCGTACTAAAAACCACGATCAGAAAGACGTCAAAAATAAGTTGCCGATTTTAAGTCTAGGTTAGCGACATACTCTTTTTTTATACACGTATTTTTTCAACAACCACAAGGAGTAAATAAACTCCTAAAAATTTATCTTAAGGAATTCATTCTATTAATTAAATTTTAATCTTTTAAAGAAATGAGGAATTTTCATTGAAAAACGGCAAAGTTATGTGAAATACAATTGTGCAAGGTAACTTATTAAAGGATTAAAAAAGGGCACTTATTTTGACGTCTTTTCTGCACCATGTGCTTCAAACATCGGATGATAAAACGCCTTTTAAATCCAAACCGTCCAACAGAACAGCATGTGATGTAATACCGTCAGCCTAGACAAAAACCCGCCGTGGTCCGGCTACCGCAGACGAGGGGCAGAAAAGAAGAAAAAAAAGGGGGGTCGAGCATTTACACTAGTATGATGATTGCATTCTGCAACGCACGAACTTCAATGACGTCATGACAGGTGGTAGACTGCGGCTACGCTATAAATAGAGACTAGGGTTAGACGAGCCAAGAGGCTTCGACAAAATTCCGGAATCCGGGGAGTCGTGATAGGTAGAATCTAAGCAACTAGTAGGAAGCGCAAAGTTAAAGAGGCCATCAAGTATGGCACATCGGCTAATCACTACCACTCGAAGTTAGACCGTACGTCCGTCGCTTTAAACAACGACAGTACATACGGATTCACAAAGCATTGCTTTTGGAATATTTACTACGAAGTACATATGTTCGATATACACTAGCCGCTTCGTGTTATTCAAACAGCTTTTTCGCTTACTCCCTAGCTTGAGCGCCAGTTCAGACTTCATCTGTAGCCTCTAGCTATCGCATTCGGCGGCTGGCTTCGCGGCTCTCGGCTTCTTTTTGCGCTTGCTACTCCCGGTGCCGGATCCCATCGGCGCCTCGCGTATCCACCTCGCGACCGCCTCCGCGCGTTCTGTCAGGATAGGGTACTCCCTTCCGTCATCTACAGCCCAGCGCTTAGGGCCGGCATGCGGACTAGGAACGCCGCCGTTGGTGAAATTTGCGTGGTCGGCTTCGGCTCTTCGCTGTCGAGCAAGAATCGCTGCTTTGAAGCTCGCCTCGTCGTTGACACGCTCGTCCTCTAGAGCCTCAATGATAGCTTGTTGCCGCATCCGCTCCTTTCGCTGCTCCTCAGTTTCGGCGGAGGGTGTGCCTCCGGTGATTGATAGGGCGTTGACGCTTGCGGTCGCGGTAGATACCCCGTTTGTCGACACGGGGATCGGCAGCGGGGCCGGGGCGCAGAGAGCCTCCCAACTCGATGAGAGTTCGATCCAGTTCTCCGCTCTTCGGAGGACCTCAATCCAATCCGCTCGAGCGGGAGACCTACTTGCCTGGAAAACCGGATAGCCATCGGCAAGACGAGCAAGCCGCGCGACCATGTGCGCATGGCGCTGGAGCTCTTTTGCCGAGGTTTGGATAAGGGTATGACATAGTAGCAGCGAATGTAGCGCGTCAGTCAGTAAGGGATGGTAAGTAACCACCTCGGTAGTTGTCTGAATCGACTCCGTAGTAGCACTGCCTGGAGATACGAGGACCGTCGAGGGATACGGCGGCAGGTCTGCGGGAGGTGTGGCTGAGAAAAGGGAGGACAGCTCGTATACCGTATGGCTAGGCGAGGTTCCCGTAGGGCTACTCGGGTCCTGAGATGCGTGGCGGGATTGGCTGTAGTACCTTTTGCTACGATGAGTCGCCTGATTTACCTGGCGACTAAAGTCATCCGATACCTCGATAGGTAGGTTGGGCGAATAGTGAAAATGCTTGAGATACTCCATGTAATCTCGTAGCGCGCGCTTCGCGTAAACACGTACCGCCTTGCGCACTTCTAACAACTTCTTGGACGGACCTTTGTTCTCCGGATCCTCCCCCGCTTGTGGTGGCGCCGAATCGCCATTGGTAGTGCCATTACTGGCCCCGTTCGTACCGTTCTGTGAATTCGCATTCTGCTCAATAGGTGAATCAGGGAGTGCAAGCGCAACGTTATCACAAGCCAGGGTGAGGTAGCAGCCAGCCCGCTGAAATAAAAGCTGTACTTCTATACTACTTGGTTGGTCTCTTTCGTCAAGAGGGGGATTATCTCGCCGCCGCCGAGTTTTCTGTTCGAGTTGCATAGACTCGTCTGATGCTGGTTTGTGCCGCGGTTGTTGAAGACGGTACACTCCCAGCGCAGACGTAAGATCACGAACGGCACCTTCGAAATCATCCTTGAACATTCGGACGATGGCACGAGTCCTCAGGGGCTCGCAATCAGACGGCCGTTGTCCTATTATAAGATCCAGTGCGCGAAAGTCTGTACATTCAGCCAGTTGCCTCGACGGGATCTTTTCGTGGAAGAAATGAACATAGTTAGCGTCAGGATCATCAGGTGCTCTTAGTAAAACAAGACTGGCGACATTTTCCAAAGTCGAAGTAGATTGCATCGTCGCCACGCTCGACGCTATCTCATCCAAATGATAGGCGCGCGACAACTTCTGGGTAGCTTGCTCCCGCATTCGGAATTTCCGCTCTGGGCTAAGTTTTGCGCCGGCATTATTCCCAAACCCAAGACCCAAGGCTTGCATATGATGCGCAGCTCCTCCCGCCAGCGAATTAGATAATGTCGAGGATGCGATGCCATTCGCAGCTCGTACAGCCAGATCCGTAGCGCCGTCCACGAGCTGTCTTATCTTCACCAGGTCGTAAAATACTGCTGGGTCGACAGGGCGCGGTAACGGCATGTAGTAGTTCGCATTAGCCAAGGTCTCGAGGACTTCGAGCGGTAGCTGCAGCCATGGTCCATGGAACGAGGATATGTAACGCCAGTGTCTGCGGTAGCGAATTATAAGCTACCAATATATACACACTTATAGTCAATAAGGTACAACTCACTTATTCCGGCAAATTACAAGCGCAGATGAGGAAGACGACGACGACGACTGAGGCGCAGGAGAAGTTGGCTTCTTTTTATTCGCTGTCGAAGGCGCTGTCGAGGACGCTGCAGTAGCTTGTGCCTCTATAGTAGGAGATTCGCCCGCTGTGGGCTTCTTGTTCTTTTTACCCATTGCGCATTGGTGGTAAACTTGTTTAGGTACTCCCAATAGAAATGTAGACGTAGTATATGAGGTGTGATTGATATTCGAATCGCTGCAGTATTTACACAAGAAGACCAGACAGTACTGGACAGGCGGGCGAAATACGACGATAATATATACCGTCGCAAATAGCAAAGTCGCAAATAGCAAAGTCTCGGCAACTTACAGCTATTTGCTTCTGAAGTTGAATTAACTACGAAAGCAGAACAGAAAAGCTCAATTGCGTCGGCGATTCGGCGTGGCGCGTCTATTTTCTTATCTAAAAGCTAATAAAGCCTATTACATACCTTTATCGCCACGTGATGACCGTTTTATTCCCTTCTTTGTCTTTACCACCTGGTGTATAGAGGTAGCAAGTATATTAATCAATCATAGACGTAAGTTAGGTACTATAGCATAGCAAGGACAAAGAGCTTAGGATTCTTCATTTTTCAAAAGCTTCTCATAACTAATCTTAATTACTCTCCCTGTCAGTCAACTAAAATGACGACTAGAAGTATAAGCGATGGTACCCGCTGTTAATAGTATCAATATCTATATTAGGTACCTATACATATACCTATACTATATAGAGAACTAGCCCCGAAAAAAGAGTTCCTTGCATGTTCGCTCTTAGGTAATAATTGAGAGTGTACTTTCAAGAGATATTCTAGTTAACTCCCCCTTAAAACCTAAGATCGCGAAGGGTGTGTAAGTTGAAAACATGTTGTACCACAACTTTATAATGTTAATTTCCTTTGATCTCTCTTTTCCACGCCTTCTTTACTTCTTCTAGGAGACCATCCTGCGTCAAGACGTCCACAGCAGTACCTGCGAGCGCCTTACCTACACGCAGACATCGCTCAAATGCAACCCTTGTTCCGGCTGCCTTGGCGAATTCCGGATTATGAGGTCCGTTCCCTCCCGGTCCCGGTGGAATCGCAAACCCTGCATTCAAGCTAGGCATAGCGTAACTTATATCGCCTTGGTCTGTACTAGCCATTGTTCGGCCTTCGGCCTCATCCACGCTGTCGTTCCCCGGAATGGGCTGCGGAGGCGAAAGTGCATTGAAATACTTTCGATAGGAAGCACCTAGCACCCGGTTAGGGACGTGGTCGGCGTAAGACTGCACATGAGTCATCTGAAGCCTGGCACCCGTTGCTGTCGCTCCAGCTTCAAAGCAGGCATCAACCTTCTGCTTCAGTTCTTTCACCCTCCCCTGTGTGTTTGCGCGGGTTACGAAATTACCGGCCGTATATGCATGGATCACATTCGGCCGCACCCCACCATCCGTAATATTCCCCTGGATGACATCACCAGGCATTGTTTGCTGACGGAGGACGGATAATGCATTGTAAGATGTGATCAACGCGTCAAGAGCGTTGATGCCCAGCCAGGGACTTGCTGCTGCGTCTAAGATACTTAAATCAATATTACCATTCCCAAGTGTATAGGAAGACAGTTCGAATCAGCTTACGAGCCTCGCGGCCGAAGTATTCGACCTTGAATGCGGTATACGCAGATGTCCGCATCAGGGCAGTGTCTTTGGTAATGCCAGGATGAGATATCAAATTGATATCGACCTTGTAATCTCGATAAGCCCCGGCTTTCAACAACTTGATCTTGCCGCCACCTCCTGTAAAAGATCAGAATATATCTTTTATACGAGTGATATTTATTTCAGAGGTCCGGGTCGAGGAGATGATATCAGTCGCCCAAGTCTTCCTTACCTTCTTCCGCGGGGGTTCCGAACACGACGACTTTCCCACTCAATTGATGTTCCTCCATTATTTTAGCTGTCGCCAATCCACCTGCTACAGATGCGGTAGCAATGAGGTTGTGACCACACGCATGTCCAATGCCATCCAACGCGTCTACACACTTAGTTAGACTTCTTCGTATCACTAATTAATTCGGCTTGACACACCCATTTCAACGTTGAAGGATACAACTGGGCCCTTCTTCCCGCTATCAAACACAGCAACCCAAGCTGTAGCTAAACCATATGCAGATGGCGTCACCTTCCATCCTGGCCTACTGGCCATGAATTTTGTCAGTGTCTCATGAGCAATGAATTCTTCATAGCCAAGCTCTGGGTTATCATGTATCTTCTTGTTGACTGGCCACAAGTCATCTGCAATGCTGTCGATGAATTCGCTAATCTCGCCAAGATAGCACAGCTTGGACTGAGCGAGGTCGGCGTCCTCGTGGGTAACGAAGACAAAATCGTCGTCGAACTGTTGATCCATCTTGCCAGAAAAATCCTTAGAAGCCTAGTCGTCGCCTGTGAGAATACACATACATAAGAAATATGATGGATAAGGTATATTGAGTAAGTATTTGTGAGCATAAGCCGAAGCTATTAAATAGATGAATCCGTGAACCTTGAGGTCTCCAGACTTCGAAGTTCCAATTAGCCTATCCTATCATCCGCTAACTTCTAAGTTACATAGGTTGATGCATTCAATGTAACGATCAAGGTTCATCAGGATCAGTATCACTTATCTATACGGATTACAGGGTACATATCTACAGTACCTCATAGGGGCAGAGGGGGGGGGGGGGGGGGGGTAATGCATGTAGCTACCCTGTAGCTTACCCCACACATGCAGCGTTCAGTGAGTGCTGCTTGCTAGGTACATATGTACTTCCTATCTAGATCAGACTATTAACTTGGAAGTCGCGAAGCAATCACCTACAGGCTACGAGATAATACAAAAATACTTTCCCTTACTTATCTCTTAGTTTTTTTTTTTGTTACACATCGGAGTCGTCCGATGAATATCTACCTACTTAGGGGATGGCCTACTTAAATCAGTATGAAAAGACCAAGTTTCGTTTCTTCGTAAACTTGATAAGGGTAACTGCAGGATATTGCAGTCAGTCGGTCTGCTGAAAACACTTCTAGAAGCAGAATCGGAATTTGAAGACTACATACATACCACAACAGTAAGCCGATTGCAATCAAAATGGCCTCAGAAAAACCAACAGGTCAACAGACTATTACCACTTCTGGTATTCGCGATGTAGAAGCGGTAGAACTGGATATCAAAGATGAGGCTGGATCTTTGGCTGCAAGAGCGTTGACGAGCGATGCCGTGGACGAGGAAACCTCTCGGAAAGTTCGACGAAAGATTGACATTCGCATCTTACCTTTCCTATGCGTCACCTACGCTTTGATGTTCATCGACAAGACCTCCTTGGGCTACTCTTCGGTGTATGGTATCATACCTGATAATAAGCTTCAAGGCCAGGATTACTCTTGGGCTAGTTCTATCTTCTATTTCGGTAAGTCTTTACTGGTGTTTATACAGATAACGGATGCTAATAATAATGATAGGATATCTTGTCGCCGAATACCCCGGCATCGCAATCATTCAGAGGTTCCCAGTAGCCAAGTTCCTCGGAGTTAATATAGTACTGTGGGGAGCTATTCTCATGACAACAGCAGCATGCTCTTCCTTTGCCAGCCTTGCTACCGTACGATTCTTCTTGGGCGTGGTCGAAGCGACGGTTTCACCCGGCTTCGTCTCCGTCACCGGAATGTGGTGGACTAGGCAAGAGCAAGCAGGCCGATCGGCCCTCTGGATCTCTTTCCTTGGGGTTGGCAATTTCGTCGGAACACTCCTAGCCTATGGCATCGGCCATATCCAAGGCTCTCTGTCTACTTGGTATGAGATTTCACCTACTTCTGTATATCTTAAGAGAATTTCCGCCCATATAGCATCCCTGCTCCTATATCAAAACTTGTGTTTGCCCTAGTGTAGTCATTGATGCTAACTTTACTCTAGGAAGTACATCTATCTTATTCTAGGAAGCCTTACCATCGTATGGGGTGTAGTCTTCACGCTCTTTGTACCTGATAGCCCAGCAAGTGTCCAGTGGCTGGATGAGGACGAAAAGGTCATCGCCATTCAACGAGTAATCGAAAACAAAACTGGCACCAAATCTCGTCGTATCGTCGGAGATCAGGTCATAGAGGCGATTACCGACCCTAAAGTAGTTGTCCTAGGTTTGATATCCTTCGTCAATGCCATTGCGTCTGGTGGGCTAAGTTTTGGCTCCCTGATAATCTCCGGCTTGGGATTTGATCCATTGCAAACCACCCTGTTGAACCTACCTGGTTCTGCAGTCCAACTTGTAGCGCAACTCGGCTCTGGAGTTCTCACTTCTTACGTCGGTGGTTTTCGTCTACACATTGCATCTCTAGCTATGATCCCGCCGGTATGTACAATTATACGCTATGACGACAGGATGTTTAACTAACCATGTATAAGATCATAGGGACAGTCTTGATCAACCAACTCCAGCCAACGAACAAATGGGGACGTCTTGTAGGAGCTTGGTTACTGGTAAGTACCGCGACCTTCAGCCTACGAGTATTGAAATGCGCAGTTACGTGCCCGATCCAAATTTGGATTTATACCTAGGTCTTCTCATGCGTTCCTTTCTAATTTGTAAAAAATAGGGCTCTTATCCTGTGGGGTTTATGATAATTCTTGGCCTACTCGCAACCAACATTGCAGGTAGCACTAAGAGATCTGTAGCCTCAGGCTGGGTCTTCGTCTGCTACTGCATTGGTCAAATCGCCGGGCCACAGTTCTTCGTGAGCAGGGAAGCCCCAGCCTACCGTGGTGGTATTGTAGCTATGCTCTGCGGCTTCATTCTGAATCTGGTCCTGAATCAAGTTCTGCGCTTACTTTACGTACTCGAAAACAAGAAGCGAGATAAGATGTTAGAGGGCAAATCAGAGGATGAGCTTGAGGCGATGGAAAAGGAGAGTAATCTGCAGGGTTTCGAAGACGTCTCTGATAAAAACAACGTAAGTTCCCCCTACGTCTACCTAAGCAAGACAATCAGAAATCTAATATCAAGCAGGCCATGTTTCGTTATACGTTATAGTCAATTACCTAGTTGCCAAGCCTAGATTGCATAGAGAAAATCTGTGTCAGCCTACTCTAGTACTAGAGCCAAAGTATGTAGCTGTTGCATTTCTCCTCAACTACGTGTAATTAATTCACATCAAACATTCGCGTCTTTAGTAGTCTCTCGCTGCTGCACAGAGGCGCTGGTTTTCTCCTCTATGTTGTGTGCATCCGTAATGCTGAGCATCTGTCCACCCTTCTCTACGTGATTCTGACCGCCGAACAGCGCGTCGATTTCTTCCAGTGGAACCTTCATTGTCTCGGGGATGCAGAACCATACGAAGACAGCCAAGATGAAGTTAGTTGCCATGAAGAAGAACAAACATTTTAAACCCTCCCTAGCAAGGAAAATAGGAAAGAATTGCTGGAAGATGGTGTTGGCAACATTCTGCATTTGGGAGCACATTCCGACCGCCTGTGCCCTAACGTTCATACTGAACACCTCCGAGGTCCATATCCATGTCGTCGCTCCCCATGAAGGCTTGTAGAAGAATATGAAAAGGAATAGGAGGAAGACGATGGCTATGCCAACAGGTTCGGTCTTTGTAGCTGCGCCTTTGGCTCCGACCACGTAGGGGGTCGTCATACCGACAATAGGAACAATTAACATGCAAATCCCCATCCCGATCGCACCCACGATGAACAGCCATCGCCGTCCAAATCTATCTGCGATCCAGACGGCATTGAGGGTGAATAGTATACCGCATGTTGCATTTAAGGCGTTAATCAAGTTTATCGTCTGCGTCGAAGGCCAGATCGTCTTGTATATGGCGCTCGAGTACGAGTTCAATGTGCCCTGGCCAGAAAGCTGCTGTCCAACGTTTAGGATGAAGGCGAGGTAAAGCCGCTTGCGTACGGACGGGTCCTTGAAGAGAGCCGTATACGAGCTGCTCATAGCCTCGTTCTCAAACTCAATGGCCTCCCGTATGCTCAAGACCTCGAATTCGACATCCTGCTCCGTGTCCCGGATCTTGCGCAGCGCTTTCTTAGCCTCCTCGACGTTGTTGTGGCGCTTGATCCACCAGCGCGGGGACTCGGGTTGGAAGGGCAGGAGCACGATGATGATGATTGGCACTAGCATCTGGAAGATGACGACCATGCGCCAGTCCCAGTGGCCGAGCTTCTCTTTGTTCGCGTTGCACGCGTATGCGATCCAGTACGCGATGAAGGACCCCACGCTGTAGAACATCTGCCAGAACGTCATGATCTGCCCGCGGATCTCCGGGGGCGAGACTTCGCCGATGTAGATGGGTCCAGCGGCTGGTGGGGTGTTAGTTCGGGATAATGGTGCGAGTATATATGTGTGTGTGGGTGGGTTTTTACGCACTGAGAGCCATGCCCTGCCCGATGCCGATGAGCACGCGGCCGCCGATGAAGCACCCGAGATTATGCCATGGAGCGAAGGCTTGCATGAATGTAGCAGCTATGGTTAGGAGACAGCCTATACCCATGCCGACTCGTCGACCGAAATAGTCCGCCTAGATACTTGTTAGTGTTGAGACGTATACAACTTGAATTATACGCCAATGCATATGGAAGCCTACAGTTGGACCGCCAAAGAACCAACCCGCAACGATAGCACCGATAGTATAGGCCGTATTGATCAGCCCTATCAGGTTTGCGTCTCTCTTCTTCAAGCCGGACGTGTTAGCTTAACTTCAGATATCGTAGGATAAAACAGTCTATCGTATAAGGATCTTACAGTATCGAGGTCGAACCACTCAAGCCAGTTGTCGGAGCCCTGCGCCGCGTTGAAGACCGAGGCATCGTAGCCGTAGAGAACCATGCACATGGCCGCCACGAGGGCGATGTACCTGCTCAGTCTTAGTTTTGTATTCCTTGTTGGTTGGTTAGCTATGAACCTAGAAACTCACCAGTTGTAGAGCCTCTTTGAGCTCACCATTTTGACACTGGTGCTAGTGAGAGCGTTATTCTTATGTGTCTCCGCTCTTGTCCTCACGATACCCCGTGATAATGAGGTTGTGGTAAAGGGGGAGAGTTGGCGAATAACAAAAGGTATATTTAACGGCCAGGAGAGCAATTAGTCTTTATATACCCACCTAGGTATGTATATATAGGTATATAAGCCCAATGGTCGAGGTCCGATCAGCCGAGAACAGCTAACCCACCGGATTCACCTACGCAAGCCAGGATATTTCTCTCGCCTTACAGGCCCTTCTCCTCTTTTCCGTCGGCGATACTCGACAGGACAGGATGGATTCGCTAAACAGCACCTCGCCTATTCAGCTGAACCCAGTGGGGAGACCTCGCCCCAAGCGACGGGATCACACGTTATATCCACCAATCGTATATCTATCCGCCACTAATACTTCATTCTCTTATACATACATCTAGCAGCGAGCTTCCCAGGTGGTTGGGCTGGGGTATGTACACGGCTACTACCCCAGACCCCATGGGCCATGGCCGGGGTGGTTGCAATTAGTATGGGGAACATGTCCGTTGCTGAAATTCCACCACTCACAGTTTTTCCATGTGCGGCGGCCGCAACCCTGTTATCACTAGCTCCCTGCGGTAAAAGCTTGATTGAGATTGGCATTGTTTCTCGGTTCGCGCTGTAGGAGGTGGGATCTTGTATTCTGTATAGTCGGATTAGATCGATGCTCTATAATAGGT